CTCTTACGCTCTACTGAATTACATCAGTGAGGCTTTCTTGTTCATGACCTGAAAATTTCTCCCAGCACAGAAGTAAGGACAAAATTAGAGTGCCACATGCAGTTGTTTAGGCATTCACTTATTGTAGTTAATGCAGTTGTTATTAATGGACATTTCCCAGGATGTCTAATATACATCTCCCATTCTGTATCTTGTTATACTTGAATGTGGTGTTATTTCAGATCCGAGGCCTGAAGCCCATAACCTGCAATAAAGTATCACCCACTGTATTCCTCTGGGCCTAGCACTATAATTTTTTGTTTAGGACTGAAGATGTTAAGATTTTTCTCCTCACTAGCTCCTGTTGACTGCAATTTCTTGATTCTCTCCTTATTTCTCCTGCTTGGTATTGTCTTATGAATCCATGTGTACTGAGTCTGGCTGGGAGGGGGTAAAATTTCTTCATATCAGGCTGTACAGGGCTGAGTTTTGGATTTGTGATCAAAAACTTGCTGATAACACACCAGCCTTCAGCTATTTTTGCAGTGCTTGTGCAATGACAAGAATGCATCTTTTTCCCACTCTGCCTCCAAAGACTTTGGAGCGTAGGCTGGGTAGTTAATAGATTGTGGGGGGACACAGGCAGGACATCTGACCAAGACTGAATAAGGAGATACTCCATGCAACATCATGCCGTACTCAGCAATCAAAACTCAAGGAGAGGAAGAAGAAAAGGAAAATACTTTTATTTGTCTATTTGGAGGCACTTGTCCTAGAAAACAACCACTGGCATTCAAAGTCCCTGCTTTCCAGGAGGCAGGTGAACATCTGGCTGCTGCTGAGAGAAGCAGTGCACAAATTCCTCCTCTGCTTTGCTAGCACGCGCAACTTTGCTTCACCCACCAAACTATTTTTATCTTGATCCACAAGTCTTCCCAGCTCCTTTCTATCTTCTCTCCATCCCACAGAAGACAGGAGGGAGGCAGTGGCTGTAGCAGCTTGGCTGCTGCCCAGAGTCCACCCACACCCCATGCAAATACCAGGTTTCCACAGGGAACAGCAAATTAGTTGCTCAAAGGTCACTGCCCACGGCTGTTGATTGCAATGAGTTGTCATAAGTTCAAGCTGATACGTCCATCCCTTGACCTCCCTTTGTATTTTACACCTAAGATGATTTTTATTTCACATTTATGTGTCCTGTCAGGTACATGAATTAATGACTAATGAACACAGGGGGGAGTTCAAGCTCCTAGAGTTATTTAAAAGAAGAGTTTTACTTCTGTTAAACCAAATATCTATTAATGGGTACAACCTAATTCTGGTAGTCCAACCATCTACTCCTAAATGTTTCTCATATTTAACTGACACTGACCATGTCAATTGCTTTTAGTCACTGCTGACACCAGGTTTTACTGATAGTTGTTGTGAAACAGTTGATGTAGAACATGTGACAATTTTTCTTGTGGTTCTACTATGCTGATGTTTTTGATGCATTATCCCAAGTGCTTAGCATGGTCAAATGATCAGCAAAATTCAAATGCAATGATTTTCCTTTCTCTGAACTGGCAGCACCCACACAAAAATTCAAGCAAGGGAATGAATGAATGAATGAATGAATGAATGAATGAATGAATGAATGAATGAATGAATGAATGAGTGAAATACCATACTGAGGGCTTAGAAAAGGAGCTCTTCCCTTTTAATATCAAAGCTGGAATTTAGCAAGTTGATTACATGTTTCTGCCTTTTCGAGTATGTATTAACTAAAGCCATTTCCTTGGAGGGCCCTGGAAGCCAGTGCATGGGACACCTACTTTTTCTCTGTAAATGGCCATGAATCCCTCTCTTAGGGAAGAGGGATTCATGGCCATTTACAGAGAAAATGGTCTCTTCAATCAGCTGCACATCCCCCAGGTTTTCTGCATAATTTGATATTTTGACTAAACCAAAAAAGCATGTTTGCAACTGCCTGTGATAAAAACTACACCACAGTAAACCCAACTACAATTATCCTTGATCTACTGATGTCCCTCCATTTTTCTGGGGCCATTCTGGTTGCTTTTTAAGTGTGGGGTCAATCACCAGTCTTCAGTGCTATGTGAAAACACACCTTCCCTGTGTGTTTGCAGATGGATGATTGCTTCTGTTCCAGTGGGTCCTAATGATTTCCACCATGGACAGTGTCTGTTATAGAGGTGCTACATGAAGCAGGTGTATATTTGGGACCTGGATAACTCCTCCAGCCTTTGAGGTCAGAGTCCAAGAGAAGCTTTGGTTATTCTAGAGGCAATTTCAGCCTCCTAAGCATGAAAGGGTACATAAGGCCTTCCCAGGCTATAAGCTTCAATGTTCTCTTCCCAAGAGAGACCATGAACAATTTCAGAACTGTTATCTTGGTGCTCACTGACCAAAATGGTTTCTTTGTTTATTTTCAAATACCTTGTTAGTTTGTTTTGTTTTGTTATTTTGTTTGGTGTGTTTTGTTTTGTTTTAGGGGTTTTCTTTGAACTGAGAGTAGGCAAGCTTGTTATTCTTCTGTTCACCTGAGAAAAACTTACCAAGATTAAGGCTACCTCCTCTTCTGGCATCTACCCCATCATACATATGTGCTTAGTTCCACAAGTTTGTCCCTGCCTGCCTGCCTTCAATGAGTTTAGCACTGCAAACTGCTGGGTGGGAAGGCCAGGGTTTGTTTCAAGCTGCCTGGCACCAGCTTGGCAGGGCCAGGCTCCAGCTGGCTCTTGCAGTTACCCCCACTCTGTGTTTTGGAACATGAGAGCATCTGACACACACCAATTACATCGAAGACAAATAGCCAGAGGCAGTGATTTCTTTTGTGGTTCTTTCAGAGCAGACATAATAAGCTATCAGCTGGCAGCCTCTCTAGGAATTTTCCAAGGGGGCTTTACATTTTACTGGGATGACATTCAGGACACTTGAATGCAGGGATCTTCATTCATTTCATATCTCCTTGGGACACATATTATGGTGTTTGGTGATAGATGCGTGAAACTACAGTGGCTAAAAAGGGAAGATTTCCCCTACAACTCTCTTTCTAAAATATGTCATTCTTAATAAGTAATACAGACACATTGATCCTTTTGGAGCCTTGCTCCAGTACTAAAAATGTTTTGGATTGAATTTGTCTTCAGTGACTCATGGCTTGATCATTTCCTATTTTGCATATTTTCCAGACCTCGTTGAGGAATTTCAAACAATATAACCCACTGGGTGTTGTGGACTTTCTCACAGGAGAGACAGAAAGTTATTTAGAAAAAGCTTTGGACAATGTATCTCAAATGCAGAATTGTGACAAAGTTCCTAATTAGTCAAGTGCAATTTTGGCCAGAATGTATCTTTGTAAGAATCTATCCCAAAGAAGAGCAGAAATATTTTAAACACAAAGCAGATGGATTTTATTAAACTATTAGAGGCACCTCTTCTATGAGGAAAGGCTGAGAGAGTTGGGGTTGTTCAGCCAGAAGAGGAGAAAACTTTGAGGAGATCTTATTATGACCTTCTAGTACTTGAAAGGGGCCTAAAAGAAAGATGGGGATAAACTTCCTAGGAAGATTATTGTGATAGGACAAAGGCTAATGGTTTTAAACTGAAGGAGAGTTATTTAGGTTAGATATAGGAAACAAATGTAGGGTGGTAAAGCCCTGTCACAAGTTTCCCAGAGAGCTGGGAGATGTCTGTGGAAACATTCAGTCAGGTTGGATAGGGCTGAGTAACCTGACCTAGTTGAAGATATTCCTGCTCATTATAGGGGAGTTAGGCTACATGGCCTTTCAAAGGTTTCTTCCAACTCAAACCATTATATGATTCATGAATCCCTATACTTTTTTGTTTGGTTGGTTGGTTGGGTTTTTGTTTGTTTTCTACTTGACTGTTTTCAATTTTTCTTGAGAGATATCTACCAAGTTTGGACTATTACATCTTCTTAGAACCAGAGAAGACTGTTGTACGGCTCTTACAGATATCAATTTCTCTTCTTAAATTTGTCCTTCAGCCAAAGCATTTTTTTAGATTACTATTATTTTAATTCCAACCCTTGTTGTAGGAATTTTCCTCAAATAAATCTTTGTAGTCCAAGGCTTGTGCTCCTAGTCTGCTCTCTGGAGACTGTGTTTCCTAGTAACCAACATCCCTGTACTGGGAGATCTTGCACATTTTTCACTATATCTTGAGAAGGGGAAAAATCAGTTTTATTCAATAAATAGATTCTGACAGCAAAAGTGACCTAGGCATCAAATAAGCAAGCGAGGAAAAATTGTGCATACTATTTCTATAAAGCCACAACAAGGAGGGTTACATGGGGTAGTTTGTTGAGGAAAAACTAAAAGAAATGTCAATTATGTATTTATAAATGTTATAACAGAGTGGTTTTCAAAAAGGACAAGATACCAGGACTCTGGCTTACAACCAGAACCTTGTTATAGTATTATTGGAAACATATTGTTAAAGGCAATTTTGAAGGGAAATGTGAAGTGTACTTCAGAGGCAGAAGAAAACATTTTCTTAAAGTCTGAGAGTTGTTTCTCCTCTCCACCCCCAAAATATTTCTGGAAGACAAAGAATGCAAATTTCAAAAGCAATTTTACATTTGACATAAGACATTGGCTCATGGCTTTCCTTTTTCATCTCTTGGGTGTTGTGCCTGTTTTGGCAAGCAGCTAGACATTCTGCTAAGAATTATAGACCCTACTCCTTCTGGTGGAAATAGAGGCATCTGTGTCTAGGTTTCCATGTTGGGACAAGATCTAGGATGATCATGCAAGAATATTAAACCACTGCATTTACTTCAGCTTACGAGATTTAGCAGGTAATTTTGAGGTATGCCAAGTCATTAACTATGCCCTCCACCAGAGAGTTCTGGTTTCAGCTCAGACAGAATTACTTTTCTTCCCGGTAGCTGTCACAGTTCTGTGTTTTGGATTTCAGATGAGAATAATGTTGCTAAAACACCAATGTTTTAGCTGTTGCTAAGCAATACTTACTCTATCTCAAGGACTTTTCAGCTTCCAACACCACCTCACCAGTGAGTGGGCTGGAGCACACAAGAAGCTGGGAGGAGATGCAGCCAGCACAGTTGACCCTAACTGGCCCAAAAAATATTCCATACCCTATGACATCTTGCTCTGGATATAAGGGGGAAGCTGGCCGGGGACTGCTACTGAGGAACAGTCTGGGCATAGGTTAGTAGGTGGTGAATAATTGCATCATACATCACTTTTTTGCATTAAAAAAAAATATATATATATACTAATTATTATTGTTATCATTGTCATCATCATCATAATTTCCTTTTTCACTCTGTTAAGCTGCTTTTATTTCAACCCACAACTTTTACTTTTTCCCAATTCTGTCCCTCATTCCACAGGGTTGGAACAGGGAATGAATAAGTGGCTGTGTGATGTTTAGCTGCCTGCCATGTTAAACCACAACACAGAAAAAGCCATGGAAGTGTAGGTTTTGGAAAGAGAACACTTCCATTGTTTGTTTTTACAATATCTAGTTGGACAGAACTGTAGCCACAACTTGAGCTCCTGCACTTATTATTATTTACAAACTCTGATAGTAGCAATGTCATTGTTGTTTGCAATTCCTTTGACAGTCTACTTTAAATGTGGACCAATAAGTTTTGTTATAAAAGTTATATTTTAAGACAGATTTTCCCTTTTAAACTGAAGTGTGAGTCTCTGCAATAAATGTACTTTTCAGTTCTTCAATTGAATTACTCTTTATTATTGTTTGCACATATGTTAAAACTATGGTTGAAATGTGAGCAGTAAATCTTACATTAAAGTCTCTTAACTTTGGAATAGTTTTCTAGCTATAAGGAATGACCCTTAAGAGGAGGAGAAGTTTAATTTAATCTACCTTTGGATAGCACTCTACTGCTACATGTAATACAGATAGATCACCAAAAAAAAAACTGTGAGTGCTTTATACAGACAAAAAAATTGTTTGCATCCAATTCAGTTAATTCTACAGCAGGGATTCTCAGTCTGTTTTTTATTATGTTCCTGTTTTGCAGATGGATGATTGTTTCTGTTCCAGTGGATCCTAATGACTTCCACCATAGACAATGTCTTTGTTATACAGGTGCTACATGACGCAGATATATCATTTTTTTAAAATGAGCTCTTTGAAGGCAGAAGCTGAATTCCAACTTGAATGCAGGGCTCTTCTGTCTTCAGCAAGGTAGGACCAGAACTATCTTGCAATCTAACTCACACTTGTCTTCAACCAAACAAATGTGTCCTCACTTTCCCTTCCAGTTGGTAATAAGCAAAATGCAGGGACACCGGCAGTTCCATCTGCTCCCTCCAGGGCTGTGCTGTAAGCTCCTCACCTAGATTGACTTCCCAGTTTCTTTGTCACAAGTTTAGGTCCACGAGGAGATGAACCACTCCAAGTATTCTTGCTTGCCTTTTGTAAAGTTTCTGTGGTGCTTTTGGAAAGCTCATGCACAGAACTGATTCCAATTGATTTGAAAAAGAGCAATGCTGGAGGTGAATGGAGAGGTTAATGGCAAATGACAACATATTGATTTGAATATTGTGGCTGTGTTGCACTCCTCCATGGCTTCAATTTCTAGCAGGTATGAGGAGCAGAGAGATTATCTCCATTTAGCACAGCATATTAATGAAATATGCACCAATTTTTGTAACAAACTCATATCTCATATGCCAATGTCAGAAAATACCTGTGCAAACCCTGGGAAGCACAAATGGAAATGCTCTGTCACAGGACAGAAATGGCAGTCCCCTGTAAGATGCTGCTGAGAGCATAATGGGTGTACTGGCTCCTGTTCTGGACTTCTTTTTGTGAGGTGCATGCAGACAAGTTGCTTCAGAGTCTGCTTCCATGGGGATGCTCTGGGACTTCCTTAATACACGAGTTAATCAAAATTGTGTAAAGGTATGAATTATAAAGTTGATTAGTTTCATCTATCTTCAAACTTTCCTCCAGTTAAAAAATAACATGCCAAAGGCCTGAGGGACATGATAACCATCTACAAGCTTATTGTGACTGCTGTTTTTACAACTTCCTGCATAATGGGGCTCTAGCCTATAACTGAAGTTGTTACCTAGTATAAGCAAATTAAAAAAATTGCTTTCTCTATATTCACAGCTATTAAATACTAGCATAAGAGGAATTATGAATTAAATCTATCATATTCAAGAAGAGTGTGATTAGATTAAATGGGGCTGGATGATTTCCAAAATGATATATGAAATATAATGATAAAGGACAGTTCCCTCTGCAGTGAGCTCAATTACTCCCCCCACCCGAGGAAATGTGGAACCAAATGCTGGAGATGGCTGTTGGGAGGTTCCAGGAGATTTTGGAAGTAGGATACATGGATAAATAGAAAACCATACAGTACATACACAAGCTTTGGCAGCTCTCAAAACTTTAGGGTCCTTCAAAGGATAGTGCTTCCTTTAGAGTCACAGGTATGTGAGGGTAACTGAGATAAATAGGGGTGGGTCGAGAGCCCAGGAGGAGCCCCTGTGAAGATAGAAGAAGAGCCCCGGCAGAGAAGGAAGAACAACGCTGCAGCCAAACAGAGAGAGAGAGAGAAGGTATGGAATCCCCCGGACAGCTGAGAGCTGTGCAGCCTGAGAGCTGGGACTTTACGTGTATGGCAGCCAGAGAGCAAAGATTACAACAGGTATGGCTACTCCTGCTGACAGTGTATCCCTGGGCTGAGTAGTACTACAGAGCCCATTTTTCCTGCTCATTTATGCCAGACAGTATGGATTCATTTAACTGAAAGGCCTCCTATGGAGTCCTAGAAAGCAGAAGTCAGTGAAATTCTTTTGCTTCCCAGGCACATTTCTAGCTTACAGCAAAGAATGCTTCAGACTTTCAATAGGACACTCAGGTGCCTTAGCAGGTAGCAAACTGCTTTCTGCTTGGGGCTCAGAGCAGAGGCAGAGCTGTGTCTTGGTGGCCTGAACAGTCTGCTTTGTTCTGCAGCCAGTTCTGTGTTCAAAGAGCTGTCATGCTTGAGCACAGCCACGGCCATCTGCTGGGTGTGCATGGCCCATTTGATGGTCTGGTGATCACTGATCACTGATTAGAAAAACTGGCCAGAGCAAGTACTCAAGGGGGAAGACCAAAAATGTTGCACACGCAGCTTATGTACACCTGTGCTTGTGAGACAGGCTGAGAGGTCAAAGCCATGGAACTAGGCAGGGTTCCAGGTTACCCAAGTCTTATGCCTTTTTCCTGTGTTTCTAAAGGTTGGTGGGTAATGATTGTGACAGCATAATGTGTTACGGGTATGTGAATTGCTTTTGGGTAAAAGCCAGGGAGGAGCAGCAGATTATCTTAGATTTTGGCATCAGAAGCAAGATTTTTAGCATTTTGCAATCCACTCCTACTTTTCATTACACTCTCTGACCTTTGTAAATCTACTGGGTAGACTTTGGATCCACACATGAACATGAAGGCTCTCTTTCCAAGGGATGAGAAGTGCACTGCCAGATCCACTCGATCATATGGAATCATAGTTGCCAATGCAATGTGCTAAGCTCTGTTTAGCACTGGAGAAGAATAAAAGAGAAAATGAAGATGTGAGGATGTCAGCCTCCTGCTGCCATGTGTACCTTCACTGCACAGGTGGAGCTCAGGAGCTCAGACCTTTAAATGTGACGTGTCTAATTCCCCTCTGTGCATTAAACACTGAAAATCTCAAAGTGATGGCACCCAGCATTCCAGATCACTTCCAAAAATACCAGCTATGTAACTTTCCTGTGCCTCAGTTTGCCCAAATGAGAAAGGGGCAGATGATGTTTTCATTTTTTAAGTGCTTGGAGAACTGCAGAAGAAAGACCTTTTATTCTGTGAAAGTTCCGAATGATAGAATTACAGAGAAAGTTATTTGATCTCCTAATCTCCTACTTAGGTATGAAATATATTCTTGCAATTCCTGCAGCAATTCCATTGACACTTGGTTAGCTAGAAGGTACTTCCTAGAAAGGCTTTTGAGTGTGATTTAAAGTCTGCAGATAATCACAGACTGCACTATATTTTTTATAAATACTTTAGGGTTAAGCAGTTAATTAGTTAAGTGGAAAGTGGTTAAGGGTTAATTACCTCCATTTCATAATTCCTTAAAAATGTCTTCTTTCCAGCCTGATCTTTATTTCACCTCAGAAGTAAATTATCATGTGTTAATTCGTAAAGTTTTTTCTACAAACTGTATGGATTTCAAGAGAGGCTATTTCTAGGCCATGAGAAATAGATCACTTAAACAGGAAACAGGGGATTTTAATGTGCTAAAGTTCAAACATACATTAGAGTACATGATAAAAATACGCCTGTTGCTTATGTTAGCTACTGTACAATATGGTGAAATACTAATTAGTAAGTTGCCCATACACCTACATAAGCCTACAACACCCTATAATCAACACCTCTCAAGCCACCAAACAGATCAATCATTTTAGTCCTCACCATAAGCAAATTCTTCTGCTTCACCAGCCTTGAACACTCTGAGAAAACCTATCACATTCTGACATATCTTGATGTACCCTGGGATGTGTTTCTTTCAAAATATGTTCTACATACTTAATAAACAATGTATAATGTCCACAGTAGAAATTCAGCAGTGCATTTCCATCACAGCAGAAAACAAGAAGCAAGGGAAAGGCTGTGTGGGAGGTGTAAATAATGAGTGGTGGAAAATTATACGGTACTTGAAGACTGATCTGACCTCTTAACTCTTTCTTTCAGACTTCTTCATATTTTGCTTTTGTGGGGTTTTTCTACTCTTACAAAGAATGTGTAACTAGTCCTGATTTTTTTTTTAAATTTGTTTGCCACTTTTTTTTAACACCAGTATTTTTTACTTCTTTGGCCTTTTCATTTCAGCATCTTTTTAGTGGTGTTTAGCATACACATCTAAATGAACAGCTGGAAACTATTTGCAAGTGGCATACTCTTCTCCATTGCATCCAGCTATGAATCGCTGGCTCCCTCATGAGTAGTTACTGAGCAGGTTCATCAAGGGTGTAAATGTGTTATTTGCCTGTGTGACTGCTTACCAGTGGCAGCAACAGATTCTGGGTAGGCCTGCTGTAAAGATCAATGAATCAGGAGCAGAGTTAAGAGAATTTAGCTTGAGTCCTGGCAGACCAACAAGAAATAATTCAAAAAGCACTGGCTCGCTTCTTCCTGAGTCAAACAATGTTTTTCTTCCTTTAGGCTTGAAAAAGGACAATCAATAGATCTGGCTTTGAGATGTTTTTATGCTACCTGCACAGCAACTTCTCATCAAGTTCCATGCAGAAATCCCAAATTATCTGGGCTGGAAAGCAGCAAGTGGATACACCATGTTGAAAATAAGATGGTAGTTTGGAAGATTGAGTATCAGCTTGGAGCAGTGAACAAGGCTGATGGCAATTCTTCACTACAGTCAATTTTTAAGTAAAGCTCAAATATTCTTCCTCAGTTCAAGCTGGAATATTTCAAAGTAATTCCACATCTCTAATCTGATGTCAGACTTAGTGACTTCCTAATGATCTTATATGGATGTGTGATTTATGAACATGTTCTCTACTGGTATTGTCCTGATATTGCTGTTCCCTGTATAAAAAATACCACATTTTTTCATCTTTCAGGTGAAATATAAGTTTATGTTCACCAAGATTAAAGCAGTGATCAAAAAAAAAAAAGGAATTAAATATATATCATTATTATGCATGACTTTAATAACATTCCCAGACCCATTCTGACAAATCATGTTTGACTTCACAAGTCAAGGTGCTCTTTGCAAAGGAGAAGTGTTCTTGGGTGACCCTTCCAACAGATGAAGACAAAAAGGAGCTTTTTGCTGGGATCCTTTCAATGAGCTGTGACTGACAGGACTGAAGGAAGTTCTAAAAACAGAAGTGCCAGTAACAGAGTGTACCTTGACTGAGGGTCAGTGTCCCTTTATCTCATCAGTTTGCACATTGTCCTGCTACATCTCTGTGGGAAAGGCTCATCTGCTTTCTGCTTGGAGGTAGTCACTGCTATTTGCCTTTCACTTCCTTTATAGACACCACATTGTCCATAATTTTCAGTACATGAATTTGGAAAACATGGATGATACCACTGCAAGATCTCACACAGGAGAAAAATGGTGCCATATGTAGGGCTGGAGTAATAAAAGCAGAAAAAGAAGGAAAAACAGTAGAAGAAAAATATTTAGTTCCTTGCAGTCAAAATTAATAAAAGCACCAATTTGTCTGGGGTTTGGTGCCACTTAATATCAATATTAAAATTTCCAATGAAATGCTAATATTTCCCTTCCATCTCTTCTTAGCATATCCTCCTCAGTAAATCAAGTTTTGTTAAGTAGCAAATATGATTTGAACAAAAGCTTTCAGAGACAGAATTTATACAGAGTAAAGTTGACTCAATTTCTGAGTAATGGAGATGAAAAAGCACTTCACTGTCTTTTTGAAACATGATAATGATGCTTCTTTGTCTTTCCCCCTGCATAAAAGCATTTAAAGCTATAAATACTGGGACTCTGTAATGGAAGCAGGATAAAAAGTTTCTTGAAAGATTTTATGGCACACAGGAGAACACAGGGATTTCTTTCTTTTGGGAGGCCTTGGTTCAAATCCACAGGTCATGCTTGAGAATGGTGCTTACCACCCACTCAGCCTTTGCTTGTTCAGAGCAATGAGTAGCCCAAATGGTGCAACTTCCTGCTTTCTCTGAGAAATTTGTCCTGGTGTAAGGAGGGACTTGCAGGCATCTTAATGGACAAGTCCAGCACAAGTCAGATGTGTCACCTTGTGGGAAAGGCCAACCAGTCTTTGGACTGCATTAGTGTCAAGGGAAGAGATTTTTCCACTCTGTTCAGCATTTGCGAGAGAATTAAGAAAATTCTAATTAGATACTGGGAAAAATAAACTCCCAATGGAATGATAGTGGTCAAATGTGGGGACAGAGGCCTAGGAGATACTGGGGTGACTGAGCAGTTGTGGAACAGAGACTGAGCAGAGACGCCCCAGTGACACCCTGCTAGAAGTTCCCCACTCACTACCTTGCAGGCTTCCACAGAGTGTAGCTGGGCACATTTTTATCTCCAAGGCTGAAAAGGCCAGGTAAATTAGTCATAGGGTTTTTTGACTCAATTCAAAACTGTGGGATAAGTGTAATTGTGCTCAACACTTTCTTTCTAGAGGTCTTTCCTTCAGAAGGAACTTTTTTGATGTATTGTCTTTTGCTTTTCCTTCCTGTTTTCCCTCCAAAAATCAATGCTAAATTTTATGATGTCCCATCAGATCAGTAAAATAAAAGAAGCATGTCGGGATATTCATGAGCCTTTATACAACGGATTTTTTGTTTTCCCCACCTTGATGGGCTAAAACCCAGTGAGAAAAGCTGCTGAACCCTCTTTCCTCTTTCCACCTCTTTGTAGGGAAAAGTCAGGACTGGTGCTCACACTGTTTGCCTAGAGATCAACTCCCATGCCCAGCCTCCCTCCTAATTTGCTTGCCATTTCTGCACTGTGCCACCATAGTGATGGGGGTCTTGGCTTCCAGAGGGCTTGCATCCATCTTTATTCTCAGGATCTGCTAAAAGCTGACCCAGAGATGAAATACCCATTAAGAGGCCATCGACCGCATTTTAGGAATTCACTAAATGCTGCAAATAAAGATATAGATTTTATTGTCAGACTGCACAAACAGGGCCCTCATTGAGATATTGGAATTGATGCTGGCTAAATCTGAAATGGCTGGAAAAATAAGGAAACGTGGAAAGCATCTGGTGTTTGTTTCAGAGATGTGAGAGGAAGCCCCGGTGATAAATCATGTGTTGAAACAAATGAGAGTTAACAAAAGCCAGCAAATTGGCTCTGATTTGCCTTCCATGGGAGGATATAGATCTGTGATTCTTAAGGGGCCCAGAGGGTCTTTCTCTTCATTCCTTATCTCCACCCTAGGAGCTTTGTCCCCAGGGACGTATTTTACACGGGACAGATGCACATAAAATGTGGGGAAACTTTGTGTGCAATAAATTAAAATAATAAAGAGGAGAGAGTGGACAAAAGATAACCTGTTAAAGCTGAAATAAACAAGAAGGATATGTAAGACATAACATCACACACTGAACTTCAACAGCTCACACGAGGAAAGTCTTGCAAGTGACTGTCAAAAGCAGGCTGTCTGTGACCCACCAGAATGAGAGGAGCAAACATCTGTGATCTCAAGATGCATTGAAGCAAGGTTAATACCAAGAAATATGGCCCGGTGGAGTGTCCAGTTTTGGCTAGCTGTGATGTAGATAGGTTAATTTAAACCAGAATAGCCACAGAAACAGATTGCTAAAATCCAAGGGGAACACTGAAGCCTTTTCCTGCATAAGGCAGGAATCAAGCTTGGTTTATTTAGCTCTTATTTAGGGCTGATAGAGACTAGTGATTGCTGCCTAGCAATACATCATGTGGATAAACACTGTAGGAAGGGAGTCTGCTGTCTGCCAAATCCAAAGGATATCAATACAAGACCAAATGGCTTTAGAGGATGGTCCCTTGTCAACAGTGGGATGGAGGAAAGGAAAAAACATCATCCCTTGCTTGGTGCTTGATCATTCAATCTATAAAAAGGAATGATGGCCTGCTTAAAAATGATGGATGCAGGGTAGATTAAATAATTCAGATGGCTTTCTGTCCAGCTTCCTCTCTGCTAAGAAAATCGAAGACAAACAGATGAGGCTCCCTCTGCTCTTCATGCAACATCAGTTAATTCCTTCATCTCTCCCGACAACAGAGTAAACCACATGTGCTCACTGGCTTTCTTCAAGACCCCTGAACTTTGGTTTCTTACAAAAGCCTCTTGTTGGCTTTCTGATACAAACTCTTTTGTCCTGGAGAGCTGAAGAAGAGTCAAAGATCAAATGAGGTCCCATGGGTGCAATACAATTCCCTGGGATCAGTGTTCTTTGTTTCAAGGAGTGTGTAGCACAGCTGTGTCTGCACCAATTCTAAAACAAATGACAATGAATCAAAGTATCATGTAAAGCCAATGTAGCATGATTTGCAGACCCAACTCCTGCATATGTTTGTAAGTACTCCAGTATCTTCCAAAATGGAAAATATTGGTGAACGTCAAGAATGCAAGTTCAGCATAAGTATTTCATAAGCAACAAAAAAGCATTTTAAAGGGATGTAGCCATTCCAATCTAATATGCTCTAAAATTATTTAACTATCAATTCCAAGACCAGAGAGAGTCACACCATAAAAACTCAGCTACCAGGCCAATATTGCAAGCCCTAATTGCAATCTAATTTAAACCATTTAAGAAGATATTTGCTTTATTGTTCTCAATACAATAAGGAATAGATACTTGATCAATTCTTTAGCCAAAATGAAGATATCTTTTTAATAACTGTTAGGCTGTTTTCTCCTCTTCTTTATTTCTCATCCATATAAATCTAAGTCTGTTGCTGTTTTCAATGTAACTCCTGACTTGGACAAAAAAAACAACATATAAAATTTCTAAAAGAATACCACATCTACCTGCAATATTTATTGGGTTTCCTGCCTCTGGATGGGGTGATCTGACATTGTGATGAATGGATGAAAAAGTAGCCTATTTTCACTAGTACGCTGGTATTTGCCTCTGGTGAAACTCTGTGAACTAACACTCTATCACTGCACCTGGAAAATCACAACCAAATTTCTGTCTTCAGTGAGAGCCAACCTTGAGAAACCAATTTTTCTATCTAGGATAGAAATGGTTTCCTAATGGACTGATTTCCATCAGGACTTTGATTTCCATTCCTAAGCCTGTGGCTTGTATAACCAGCAGCATTTGACATACAGGAGTAATGAGGTAATCATGTTGTATGGACATGCCAGAAGAGCATGGTCCCCAGCCTCAAAGGATATGCTGTCAAAGTATGATAAGAAACAATAGCATTTTCACTTTTGAGGCACAGTTAATATTCTCTTTTCCCTACTCATTTGTCAAAAAATAAATATGGACCATCAGAATTCCAGAAGGATGGCTTTGCATGCACAGTAATCATGAAAGGATAAATATTATGTTTACCAGAAATTACCTGTGGACTTACGGAGCACTATAAAATCTTATTCTAAAAATCTCAAAAATCTTTAGAGTCCCAAGATCCATGAGCGTCCTGCCCTCTCATATTACAGCCCAGTCGATGTGGATACTCAGGTGAAGAAAAAGCATAACTATGAATTGTTATCCTTAAAGGAACAAGGAACTAAGTGAGTCTCTTTTACTGAAGTCTCCCTTTTCACTCTGTCTAAACATGGAACTTGCTGGACTACGCTTCTTGAGTTCTAACTGCTCTTCCCCACATTAGAGGCTGAAACTAGGCTTCATGGCTGGGTACTTCCAAAAAGAGAAGAGTTTTAAGTTGTAAGAATTGTAAGCATTGTAAGAATGCTGAGAAGGAAACCATCTTTTACAGGGATTATTTCAGGTTGATAGCAGCAGAGTCAAGTGCTGTGATTGGGAAGATTAGTTTCTGCAATGTCAATTCAGATAGATTATTACAACACTTCTGCCATAGTAAAAGGATGTACTCTGCATAGTGCAGAGTGTTATCTGAGTGGCTTTCAACAGAGTAAGAAAAACTGAATTTCACAGAGGTTGAGGACTTGTGATCTTCATTCTTTGGCATAGAGAGGGAAGATGGGAAGAAGAATTGTTAAGGAAGAGAGAGCCCTGGAGATGTGGAATTCTTCCTGACTCCAGCACCAGTGACTGCTGCTCAGTTTGCTGGAGCAGAAGGTTCTGCCCACCATTATTGACCCTCCCCAGAATGGCCCTCATGGCCCTTGGGGAATCTCTGGAAAAAATCAGTAGAAGAAGAGCTTTTGTCAAATATCAGTCAGATGTGAAAGCAGTAGAAATCTTCAGACATTACCTTCCATCATATTTTGTGTGAATGGACAACTGGGCAGAGAAAAGAGCAATGGCCACCAGAAAGCTACAGACTATCCACTGCTGGGACCAAAGCTACCTGCACAAGGAAGAAATGTGAAATATGCTGAAATCTGTTACTAAGCCTGACATGTGACACAGCTGAGAATCCCAGTAGAATTCCACAGGCTTTTAAGAAATGTGGCATCTTTCATTCTGGTGCTGATAGAAGTATTTGCCTTTGTCTTTACCAAGGCAGATATTCTATCAGACTCGGGAGCTGGGCTTTTCAGAAGCACCATCCACTCCTGTATTATTTTCATTAAAATAGAAAGCACAGATTTAAACTATTCCAGCTGTTCTTTATCTATACAATTCCAGGCAGGCAAAAATTATAAGGCACATAATCCTTTTCTTGGCACAAAACAGCTCTTAAATGAGGTGGTGAAAAAAAAAAGAGGAGAAAAGGGGAAGGGAAGGGAAGGGAAGGGAAGGGAAGGGAAGGG